TCACACATACACTCACACACACACACGCGCACGCACACACAGACACACACACGCGCGCGCGCACACACACGCACACACAGATACAGATACACACACACACACACACACACACACACACGCGTGTTGGAATGCAAATGCATTGTTAATGGCATTAAGAAAGTGAGTGATTAGGAAACATGTGGGCGCTGAATGTCCAGTGACAATGCAAATATTCATCTGATGATTAATGTTGCATACATCTGGTTTATGCAATGCCAAACTCAGTAGCTTGTATGCTTGATTACAGAGACCCAAGCCAGTAAACATTATATTCATTACATATCGTACTTACATTTGACAGACCACGATTTCATTTCTGAACTTACAGCATGTAGAGTGTATGACATTATGATAACCAGCAAACATTTAAAGGCTCCACTGAAATGTGCTGAAAATTTGTTCACTCTCAGACGATCAGAGATGTAGCTGAGTTTGTTTCTTCATCAGATTTGGAGAAATTTAGCATTGCATCAGTGTCTCAGCAATGGTGCACTATATAAGTCACTTTGGAATACAAGTTGCAGCACATTTCAAATGCTAAAAAACTTATATTTTGGAAAACACAGTAAGTATCTGGAACTTATTTTGACTGTCAGGTGAAGAAAAAAAAGTAGGCTAGAAATAGCACTCCTCTCCTCAACAAGCCCAAACACCACCTGATCTTTCCTCTAAACCCAAGAAAGGAACGGCATATTTCAATTCCATGAGGAACTAATGAGAAAAATGGGTTGTTGTTTTGCTGATTTGATTTTGTGTGGCTTTTTTGCACTTCTGTATTGCATATAGTTTTATAAGGAATCCAAAGTAATGCTTCCTATTCCTATTATTTTAAATGTTCATAGGCTCCTGTTGTGTTTTTTGTTTCCTTATTATTCTTCAGCTTCCTCCACTGGAGTCAATGTGACAAAAAGTAGTAAAATTTGATTGGGAAGGGTCTGAGAAGTCTTGTCAGTATTTGACATTTCAGGTAAAACTATTTAAAAAACAAAAGTCTTGTCTAATGAATCATTCATACACGAAATATACCGATGTAGTGTATAAAATACAGTATTGTTTCAATTATGAACATTAGAAGTCCTGTTCATCTATTTTATTTTACAGCAGCTTCCCAAACCCGCAGGATTCTGATCTTTTCTGTTTGCACTTTTATTTCATCATTAGTTTTTCTAAAGCAATGTTATCCAGTGTTTAGCTACATTATGCATCTTCCGGCCCAAACATCTCCATCCGCTCAATGTATGTTTTCATAGGAACTGAAGGATCTTTTATGGCAGAAGATCAAATTCAAAGCAAGCACTTACTGGAAATCAATACACTAAAAATATGTTTATTCTTTCTAGATCAATTAACTGGTCACACACATTATATTTAAAAGATTCTGTGTATTTGTAGACGGAGTAAGTGAGAAAGCGATCTCTTGAAAGTGAATTAGGCCACATTAATCTCCACTAGTTTGTTCGTGCAGACAGTAGGCTTGACTTATTGTTGAATACACATTTATGTATTGTTTCAACATGTCATATCAATCAGAGAATGAAATTCAAATAAAGGCTCTTCGTTAAAGAAGCATATGTTTGATCAATGGATTCAGTTTTCTAATACGCTGTGGTCTTTATCATACGTGAGCTGATCAAACTCAGCATCAGGTCTGAGTTCCTAATAATCAAGCGCAAGGGAAACAATGACAGGAAAAAATAAATCCACAATATTGATAATAAACTCTTGAGTAAGTTCAATATTTAGCCTACACATGCAGGCAATCTGGTGCGTGTCGCTATAGAAGTCTGTACGCAAGTCACTGATTATTTTAATTATTATTATTATTATTATTATTATTTATACAAATCAAAATCTTTCTTCATGCATGTTTTAATTTCTAAACGGATGAAGAACACATACAACATCATACATCATACAACACATAATTCAGATAAAATAAAACTAAAAACATTAATGGGGGGATAAAATGAAACATGCAATATTTTCTTTAGATTAAAAGATTAAATTTCTTCATTTTAGGAATTAATTTAATTAGACACATTTTTGATGATGAATTTGCAGTAAATCATACAACAGAATCTGAAAAAATAAAACGTATTTAAAAAAATAAATAAAAGGTATTTAACTGGGCCTGAATGAAAAGGTAGCTTAATCTGTGGAGTTTAAACAAACAACTTAGATTTATATTAATTCTTGTGGTCCAACAAACATGTGGAATTCATTTGCAATATTTTATTTTTATTTAAGGAGTACCATATAACACAGATATTCTTTCATCCATGTTTTAATTTATACAGAATGCAAGGACCTTATTTGACAAAAAACAAAAATGCATTTATTTATGCACATTATTTTATTTTATTTTGCTTACATTTTTAAAATGATGGTTTCATTTTATGAATTAATCTCATTAGACATCATTTTTAATGATGAATTGGCACTAAATCATACTGAATCCTGATTACACACAACAGAAAACAGAGTTTGGGGGAAAAAAAATTAACCAAAATTAAAAGGTAGCTTAGTCTGTGGAGTTTATTTGTCAACAAACAACTTGCATTTTTATTCAGTCTTTAGGACTAACAAACACGTGGAAAGCATTTCCTTCTGTAGTAATGGTATGAAATGAATATCGTGAGAAATACTGATATCGAATGATATTGTGATAACATTTTTGGCCGTGTCGCTCAGTCTTGGCATCAATACTAGAACTGAAACACTGCAGAAGGTAGACTGCTCACTTTAGTGTTGGTTTCAGGAGTCTGTGTGTCGTGTTGTGTTTTCTCCAAGCGGCAACCTCCCGGTCTCTCTCGTGAAGCCAACACGGAAGTGACAAACTGCAATTCATCGACTGGCCGCTAGAGGCTGGCTGCAAAAGGGAGTCAGTCCCATAGACTCCCCATGTTAAACACGTCACGAACACTACGTCCATGTTTTTATACAGTCTATGGTTTTCTCACCTGATCGTCCACCTCAAAGTCACTGTTGTGCTGAGACACGTCCTTCAGCGGCGGCTTCTCCAGACTGCGGCACAGGAGCCACGTGACCAGACCCACCACGAACATGCCGATGTCCGGGATGAACACTCGGATGCCATTCCCGGCGTCTGCACCTCGGACACTGCGGCGAGATACACACACATACAGTACAGTTATTAAAGAGAGCGTGCAAAGTTCTCCCAGTTCTCCATTGCTCGGGTAACCTTGCAGTCCCATCCTTGACACACACACCGCCGGTGGAGCCAGAAGTTGACATGACGGACCACTCATGTTTAGATAGCACCACAAAGCCTCAGTGTTTACACTCTTTGGGAAGTCATGGTTTACTTACAGGTGCCTCTGTATATTAAACTGGGATAGGAGGAAATATTTTAACAAAAAATTACACAAGATAAATGTTTAGGTAAATTATATACAGTAGAAGTAATTTAAAACCGTGTCCGTTCCTCTTGAGCCAAACATTTGTGACCCTGGAGCACAAAAGAAGTCTTAAGTCACTGGGGTATATTTGTAGCAATAGCCAACAATACATTGTATGGGTCAAAAAATATATCAAAACTTAATTTTGGATTAGTAATATACATTGCTAACTTCATTTGGACAACTCTAAAGGAGATTTTCTCAATATTTAGATTTTTTTGCACCCTCAGATTCCAGATTTTCAAATAGTTGTATCTCAGCCAAATATTGTCCTATCCTAACAAACCATACATCAATGGAAAGCTTATTTATTCAGCTTTCAGATGATGTATAAATCTTTGAAATCTTTGTCAAAACATTGACACTTAAGACTGGTTTTGTGGTCCAGTGTCACATTTAAGATGAATTTAAGATGAATTTTACGAGTGCTCTTAGCGCAACAATGAGCTGCCTCTTAAAAACACACAAAAACACTCTGTTCTGCAATAAAAGCCTGCGACTCCCAGTATCCTCGCTCACAGCGCTGGCCCGTCTGGATCTCATTTCCGCGCTCGGCCCGAGTCGAGAGAGATTTTTCATGAAACCAACCCATTCAAGCCTCAGGACAACATCACTTCAGAGAGCGGCCCGTCTCCCTGCTGAAAACTGAAACGCCACTTGTTCATTTTCAGATCTTTAAAGGTTTACGCAGCAGACGTCTGCGCAACTCTGGAAGCCCAGCGCTTTTCAGAAGCTATTCGAGAGTCTCATCAGTCGATCATTTCAATAGACCAAGTGCAAAAAGCGTGAACACAACCATAAACATATTTTGAAGATATCTTGTAAAATATATGCACAGAGGTTGGGAAAATATGGCAAATTCTGAAAACTCAACTTGCTCTAATGTACAGTATAATATAAGTGCTTATTAATGTGATTATTAAACAACAACAAATGTATGTGTATTTTAACATTATATCACAGTGTACTGCTAGTTAGAAGCAATTCAATAATTTAACTGTAATAGGTTGACTTAATTAAGTTTCCCAAACAGGTAACAATAAATCATAATAATGGGTCATATTTTTTAAGCAGAAAAGATTATGGGTATCCTTAAATATAGAACAGACTGGATATTTTTCTATTTTGTTGGTTTACAACATAAAATGACCCAGCCTGCACTGATTTCAAAGCAAAATCCAGACCCTTACAAAAATTAACCATGGCTTTAATAATAATAATTAAAAAATTAAATAAAAACTGGTTATTGTAGTTAACCATGGATTTAATAAATCAAAAATAAAAAAGGTAATTGTATTAAACCACAGTAACCACAAATTAACCATGGTTTTAATTAAAAAAATAAATAATAATAATAATAATTCATAAAAAAATAATAATAAAAAAATTGTTATTGTAGTTAAACCACGGTAACCACAAATTAACCATGATTTTGCTACACTAACCATAGTTTAACCAGGGTGTTTATAAAAATATATAGTTTAGCCATGAAACTCTAGATGGCACAGGCTGATGGGTTGTTAATGTAACGAATATTATTCAGAGAGTTAAACGACTTGGCACAAGCTGATTGGTTCATGCTGCATATGTAGCCACTGAGCTTACTGCCTTGCATTTATATGGCATCACCATGCTAAAATCTTCCGAGAGTTGTCATGATTAAACTGTGGTTATACAAATGACAATCAACCCACCAAAAAAACATGGTTACTACGCTTTTACTATAATAAAGCCATGGCTAATTTTCGTAAGGGTGTATTTTATTGTAACGCAGTACTGTTAATTCTTGTTAATTCTTTGGATTTTAGCCATGTACATCAATCAATCACTATCATATTTTACTTGATTTGTGAATGACAGTTTGCAATCTGTATCGAATGTGATAAGATAAAACACCATAACTCAAAAATAATATTAAGATGACATGACTTTTATCGAGCTGTACACAAAAACAACACACTGCGCGAGCGTAGTGTGATTCACGAAGAAATTACTCTTATGAGTCGGTTCTTTTAAGTGAATCATAAACTTGCCGCTTTAGACTGACCCACAAGAAAATGACTCGTGTATCGTTAGTTCTTTTAATGAATCGTTCAAAAAGAGTGAGCGGTTTGAATCAATACGATAGATTCAACAAAATCGATGTCCGTCGGTGATGTCTGTCGTGAAATTAAGTTTTGTGTATGTAGGGTTTATAAAAATATTATTACCGACTTATTCTTCATAAGACAACAGCGTGTAGTTATGTGCCGGATATCCGGTCAAATAGCATGTAAAGATGCTACAAGTTAAAATCGAGTAACTTTTTACCCTAAAAAATATTTTAGGGTACTTTGTCTAATTTCATCCTGCCAACGACAACCATTTAAAATTATTTATTATAATTATGTACTATGAATTACTGAAGCGACACCAAGCAACACAGAAGTGGTGTTAGTTTCCTGAATGAATCAGTATTTTGAACAAATCATTTGAGTTAATGATTCAATGAATCACTCATAAAAAAACAGTCACTTGCTGCCACCTACTGGTCTGACGGTGTATTCGCCAAGATTCACTGAAACTCCCCATCAATAAATAATAATAATAGTAATAATAATTTACTCTGTTTGCTCTTAAATACAATATACGGAGATAAAGGGAGAATATTCATTCTACAAATGGTAAAATTGTCAGCTGAAAAAGCTACTTTTGCCTTGCTGTCAATTGCGTAACACCACACATAAATGTTTGGGTAGACTCAGGACAAGATCCCTGCGTTCAAAGCAAAGCTTCCCTGACTAGCCTCCATGCAATGGCTTTGAAGTGTGTGATATTTGCTTCATAAACCGTAATAAGTGGCAGACGTTATGGTTAACGTGCCGAAAACAGCCCAAGTGTGATTGTCTCATGGCGCAGATGCACTTTGTAATGACGTCCGCTGTATCTAAACAGTTTACAGTATTGCTCAGAGAGGCCTTTCATCTCGGCGAGCTCATAAAGAGAAAACTGTGAGCAGACACAACTAAAGACAAAGGAGGAGGGCCACAGATGGCACTGATTTGGGTAAAAGCAATGAATTATGGGAACCAGCGAAAGCAAACCTTTAAACCTTTACACTGAACGAGCAATTAAGCGATTAAATTAGATTCAAGAACAAACTGAGATGCTGATGTTCATGGATTGGTGGTGAGGTTAGGGTCAAGATAGAGTTTAGTTTTAATGAGCGCAGCTGAACACAGAGGAGGAATGTGGGCTGACGCTGGCTGGCGTTTCACCAGGTGTCTCAGCAGGAGTCGGCGGATCCCACAGACCCAACCGCAGCCAAAAAGACATTACCTTCGCCTTCCCCGGGTGAGCGGCTCAACTCCAATGCTGAAATACCAGTGAAATGGAGCAGAGATCAGCTGCTTCCAGAGCAGCCAAAGAGAAACTGTCCAAACAAACTCAAGCAAAACAAACCCAATAGAGCTCGATTCCAGCAAAAGCCTGCCAGGGCAAAAACCTCTTTCTGATGCATTAGATACGGCAAAAGCATGCACAAATATTGCTATAAAATTAAACTGCAGCAAGTCATGGATTTCAAGGGACAGGGCTGTAAGCTTTAGAAACAAAACTCTTTTGTTCTCTGGATTATGAAAAATTAAACTGCTTCATTATCCAGAACATTTTCTGTAAGCTTCAACAGTGCAGGAAAAAA